TGTTGTTTGGCGGGCCCGGGCTGGGGATTCGAACCCGCCACCTTAGGTGTATGTGGCTGGCGCCTTAGCCGCTTGAGCCACAGGTGCCGAGCCCAACTTAAAATCTTATTTTAAGATAGAACACTGTTAACAAATTAGGAGGTATTTAAATGAATTTGCTAAAAGCCATGCCGCTAGTCTCCAGGGCCAGATTAAATTGAAGTTGAATAAGCTTATGACATCTTCAAAATTCAAACTTAACCACCCTACCCTGCTCACTGTGTAGGTGTCACCCCTTATACTCACATTTATTGCCTCGGACAGCATAAGCAAGCTTTAGTTCTGGATGAAATTTGCCCATCTGCTCAATCACTTTCCCTGTTTGAAGTGCCAGCTCATACGTTGGGGAGAGACATAGACACTGACAGAGAGATCACACAGGATGAGTTCAGGAGAGCCATTTAGCAACAGACACAAGCTCAGCAACAAGTACTCTGATGTTACTGCCAAGTGAATAGTACAGACCCGCATCCTCCACAGCAGCAGGCCCACCTTTCAGTCACAGACCCAAGCCCTCAGCAGGGAGCCCTGGCTTGGTGGAGGCCTTTGAAAACTGCTACTGCCGAAGGCTGGGCCACAGCATTAAGACGTCAGAAACTTCAACCCTCTCTTTAAGCCCCCACTGGTGGCACTGTCCTTCCCAGGGTAGGCAAGCCAGGGCTACCAGGCTTTCCAAGTCCTCACCTGGGGATATCTGTCCGCTGGTTCCACCCGGCTGAGCATGGCTAAGACAAAAGCAGCTGTCTTTCCTGTGCCAGACTGAGACTGGGCAATCAGGTTCTGTGGACTGCATCAAAGAATAACAGAAATGAAATCAACGCTGGTTAAACATAATAAAGTGTCAAGTTCTTTCTGGATGAAAGGAATCTCTCTCCCTTTATGCTCCTCTTTGTCACCCAGGTTTTCTGCATTGAGCACAAATTACTTTGACACTTTTTGAGACAGGGTCTTACTCTGTTACCCAGGCTGCTGTCTAGTGGCACGATCTTATCTCACAGCAACTTCAAACTCCTGAGTTCAAGCTATCATATTGCCTTAGCTCCCCAAAATGCCGGGATTATAGGTGTAAGCCACTGTGCCTGGCCACTTTTGTATTTTTTTTTTTTTGTATACCGTTTTAAAAACCCAGCTTAAATAGGAAATAATTGTTTTAGATTAAGTTTACACCAAGAAATCCTCATTCTAGATGCCAGGACAGCTAGAGTGCCCCTAGTTTTATACCCTAAGGGCCCATGGAAATCAAGAGTACAGAGTAAGAACTGTGCCCAGACAAGTCCCCAATGACATTTTCTGCTGAGCCACAACATATCCCTAGGACTCAAGTCCTTCTGTGTGGGCAGTTTTGCCATTTTTATGGACAATGCAAGATACTAAGGCAGATGGATGTGTTAGAGGGAACTTTTATATTCTACTTCATGTGACCCAGTGTCAGGACTAGGTAGTACTTGTATCATTAAAAAAGATAATTAGTCTCAAAAAAAAAAAAAAAAAGATAATTAGGCGGTGCCCGTAGCTCAGTGGGTAGCAAGCATGTCACATACACTGAGGCTGGCAGGTTCGAATCTGGCCAGGAGCCAGCTAAAGCAACAATGACAACTGCAACAGAAAAATAGCCGGGTGTTGTGGCGGGCGCCTGTAGTCCCAGCTACTTGGGAAGTTGAGACAAGATAATTGCTTAAGCCCAAGAGTTTGAGGTTGCTGTGAGCTGTGATGCCAAGGCACTCTACCCAGGGCAACAGCTTGAGATTCTGTCTAAAAAGAAAAAAAAAAAAGATAATTATAGGCCAGGTGCTACGGCTCACCTCTTTAATCCTAACACTCTGGGAGGCTGAGGTAAGATGATTGTTTGAGCTCAGGAGTTTGAGACCAACCTGAGCAAGAGTGAGACCCCATCTCTACTAAAAATAGAAAAATCACCAGGGAGTTATGGAGGGCACATATAGTCCCAGGCCCTTAGGAGGCCAAGGCAGGAGGACTGCTTGAACCCAGGAGTCTGAGGTTGCTGTGAGCCAGAGTGATGCCACAGCACTCTAGCCTGGGTGAGCACCAGCGTGAGACTCTGCATCAAAAAGGAAAAAAAAAAAGCCTCAATGCTCATAGCTCAGTGGTTAGGGTACCGGCCACATACACTGGGGCTGGCAGATTTAAACCTGGTCCAGGCCTGCTAAACAACAGTAACAACTACAACAACAACAAAAAATAGCTGGGTGTTGTGGCAGGTGCCTATAGTCCCAGCTACCTGGGAGGCTGAGGCAAGAGAATTGCTTAAGCCCAACAGTTGGAGGTTGCTGTGAGCTGTGGCATTCTACAGAGAGTGACATAGTGAGACTTCATCTCAAAAATAAAAAAATAAAAACATAAATAACAAAAAAGATAATTACGGCTCGGCGCCTATAGCTCAACCGGCTAA